CTAATGAAGCAATTCTGGTCGAAATGTGGTCTGGTTCCTCTGTGTCCTCAGTTCTGGTTCCTTAAAGTGGTCCTAAGACTCTGTTACTGCTTGAGAGGTGCATTGGTTCCTAGGAGGTGATTACTTCTGCTGCAAGGTACAGCCCTGCCCTCTTGGATAACTGCCCTCACCTGCAGGGGGTGGATCCCATCCTGTTTGGTTCTGCTGTTCCTGCAGGTTTAGGACAATGACTTATCTCTGTGCCTTCAATTTTGATTAAGGTTAGATAGACATTCTTTGAGTGATTAGCTTACCTATGCAGAGTGAAGCAACCCTTTGACCATAAAGAAAAAGAGGTAGACACAAAATGAAGACAGAGATGTCAAGCGTTCATCCTGCTTTGAGCTATCTAGTAGGCCCAAGCGAGGGGTCAGTGATTTTTAGTAAAAAGCAGTTTCTAGGATCCTGTTGTAAATACACTTGTCACTGTCAAATAATGAGTCCCGAACTTTGGGGAAATTTGGTCATATCGCTGCTGTGTGTACACATGGAAACAGGCTCCCTTCTCTCTCCTGACCTAATACCATATCAAACTTCCACAACTACCCCGGTCTCTCCTAGGTATTCCAATCAACTCTTCTATATCTCTTGCTGGGTTAAAGAAGTGGGAAAATTAAACCATAATCTGGATGAATCTGGAAAGAATCAGATGATCCACTGGGGCTACAGGGTTAAATGACAGGGTGACTACAGAGAGAATTGAAATCCCCATCTGTAGATTTCTACACAGTACATGCCTGGTGAGGCCATCACAGACCTGCAGAGTAACATAATACTGTCCCCAGACCACACAAACCTCCAGACCTTCCAGAGGATCAAGAACTCTCAGGTCCACAGAGGCTCTTTCACAATCCGGGGGACACAGGGTTGTAATTTGGCTATTTTCACTGGGAATCAACTCAAAATAATGGTGACAAACTCATGATGAGTTTGTTTTAGATGTAAAATTGAAGTGATGCTTAGTACAATTATTTGTGACTGCAAAACTAAGGAGCAATCCTTATGTTCAAAACTCAGGGATAGACTGAGGTATAACGGCTACACAGCCGACCACATAGCAGCCTATGAAAGGTACATTTTAGAAGAACATTCTATACATAGGAAAACAGCATAAGTAATAAGTAATGCTTTTATGCTATGAAGTAGCATGAACAAATTTATTTTTAAATATGCGCATACATGCACAGAAAGAATACTGTAAAAACAGCAGTATTTATTTTGGGGAGCTAGAATTTCATTTTTAAAAACACATTATTTCCTTTATTCTTTATTTCACCCCCCATACAAATAATCACCAAAACACTCATGTATTACACCAGTGACAGAAAAATCAATTCAGTGTGTCTAAAAATAAGGATGCTTCTCACCAGAGTGTCCATTTGAAAGCTTAAAAGAAGATAAAATTGCTTTCTGATTCAAGGAGCAGCTTAGCTGGAAGTTGGATAAAAGGGTAGAAGGATCCTAGGAAAATTGTGACAAGTGCCCATGAAGGACAATCTCTGTTTCTGTCTCTGTCTCTCATCTACCCATCTACATACCAATCATCAGTCTATCATCTATCTATATCTATCTACCTGTCTATCTATCTACCTAACTACCTATCAATCAACCATTTATCTACCTACCTATTTATCTATCATTTATCAATCTACCTGCCTACCTAGCAATCATTTATCTATCAGTTATCTTTATCTATCACCTATCTATCTACTATCTATTTATCCATCTATCACCTATCAATAAATTATTTATCTCTATCTCTATCATCTGTCTGTCTGTCTTTATTAGTCCCCTGTTTGTTTTCTTTCACCTAAATCCTACAATTTTAGAGTTAACACCAATGTATTGAAATGATACTTTAGAGGAAAGCTAATTTAGTCTTAAAGATGCTATATTTCAAGATTCAAAAGCTACAATGCAATGTCTTTATGATTACCAAGCTAGGAGCAAATTCTCATACAAGGAAGTTTACTATTGCTTCTTTTTGTTCAGACTTTCCATATGCTGATGGTAACCTAACTTTCTACTATCTAAACCAGGATCTGAGAGTAAAAGACTTGGCTACAAAATGTCTGTAATAAATCATATTTTAATTCTATGGCAATATAAATAAAATAATATGGTCAGCTATGACACTACAATTGTCTATGCATTTGGACATCAAACACTGGCCCATGGGTCACGTCTAGTCCTCCACCTACGTTGCTTCAGCTTGTGGTTTATATATTTTACATGGTTGGAAAAAATCCAAATAAAACTATTTCAAGAGATAGTAAAACAATATGAAAAATATTTCAAGAGATATTAAAATAATATGAAATTGTAATTTTGGTGTCCAGACAAAAAACTTAGTAGAACTCAACCTTGCTTGCTCTTTGCATCTTGTCTTGGCTATTTTCACTGGGGGACAACTCAAAGTAACTGTGACAGAATTAATGGCTTGTAAAGCCTAAATACGAACTTACCCTTTACACTTCATCCTTTTCAAGATGGTAATAGTCTCTATTTTCCACCATCAGTCTCTAGATGGCAGAAAAGATCCTAAACTAGAAAAGAGAGAAACTCCAACCTCTCAAACTACTGCCCTACGGAGGATATTTACATTTCCAATTAAGTCATCCCCAAAAGCTAGCCCTTTCAACAGTACAAAATATTTTTATATATGTTCAATAAACCAAAAAATTAAACGTCTAAAGAAACTAAAGGATTCATTTAGTCCAGAACTAATGTCTGCACTAAAATTTAGCATTTATTCATTCCCGCCTAAAATAAATATTATGCAATATGCCAATATGCACCATTAAAGGGACTCCTAAGTTTTAATATGTCTACATAGCATGTTTCTCTTATAAAACTGAATTACAGTTCTTAGGTTTCCAAGCTAATATGACCTGTTGAGCCAATTAGATTTGTCATTACCTCTGTGTGTGTGTGTGTGTGTGTGTGTGTGTGTGTGTGTGTGTGTGGTACCAACTCTGTTTTAACTGAATGTAAGTGGTTTTAGAATTTGGCACACTAAAGTTTGTTAGTACTGTGGAGATACAAACTCAAAGTAGCATTTTCTTTATATACACAGTTGGCATGCACATTCTGTGTTCATGTTTACCATTATAGGAAAACTCCATTAGAGTCTCTTGAGAGGCTGCAAACCTATATATGACTGAGATGTTAATACCATGAATGATCCTTTTCATTTCTCAATGAGACCAAAACACCGAACCACTTCCCAGGGGTGCAGGAAAGACAGAAATTCTGGCACACTCTTCACACAATTACTATCTTCCCTCTTTTCTGTTCCTTAATCTTTTCTGTAACTTGAATTGCTGGCTTTTCCATAGACAAAGAAATGTGCAAACAGGACAGTGGGTAATCTCATTCTGATCACACAAATCATACTGTCTTCTCTATGTCTCTTTTCTTATAGTCTGTTACATTTGTTGTGAGACCCTTTAAAAGCTGCTGACATCACATGTCATTCTTAAATCATTCGCCACATAGTTCCTAGGATAATTACAGTCCTCTGTGTACAAATAAATCATCACTAAAACTAAGAAATTAGCAATACTTCCATAATGTTCAACAATTCTACATGTCTTTCACCTAGCCCCAAATATCTTTTAAGGACTTGCTGTTGATTTTTTTTTTTTTTTTTTTTTTTTTTTTTTTTTTTTTTTTTGAGACAAGGTTTCCCTGTAGCTGCAGCTGGCCTGGATTCGCTAATGGAGACCAGGCTGGCCTTGAACTCACAGAGATCTGCCTGCATCTGCCTCTCGAGTGCTGGGATTAAAGGTGTGCGCCACCACACCTGGCTGGACTTGCTGTTGATTTAACATCTGTCTGATGAGCGTTGATTATTCTTCAAAACTGACAGTGTTCTAGCCACATTGTCTCCATATCCTCTTTTTATTGCTATTATTAAGCAGATTTTTGAGGTGAGAATGTGTGTTATCACATTCTGGATTCTTCTATGGAATCACATTCTGGATTCTTCTATTTTCACGTGGAAGCATTTGAATAATTTCTGTACTTTTCATTGTTTGTACTTTGGAAGTAGGTCTAATTGGACACTGGGACATTGTAGGTCTCAAATGCTGCAGGGCACTGAGGTGTGAACCAACAAGCTTCCCAGGTGTTGGGCTGTGAAAACTGGTCCCTAGATGGTGTGGAACACTTTGTAAATTGTGGCTCCCTTTACATCAGTGAGGAGGCACTATCTTCAACATCTTCATCTCCAGAGCCACTTAATGAAAGATTTCAGGCTGTGGGCCAGTGTCAAACACTGACTAGGGATGGTTAGAGAGTAATTTTCTAATATTCTCTTTCCTTTCCTTTTCATTAGCTGCTGTTATCTTATAGGGAGGATTTTCCTTTTGCATTGAGAATGGCCTAAAATTTCTCCCCAAAGTCAAAGTTAAGTGCTGAATTCTTTACCTTTAATTCCTACTTTCACAGTACACAGTTGATATAATAATCACCTTCAATTCAGGAAAACAATTCTCTCTCTCTCTCTCTCTCTCTCTCTCTCTCTCTCTCTCTCACACACACACACATATATATATATTGGATTTCAGTATCTTTAGTTTTAGACATTTTTTAGTTTGTTACTATTTTTGGTGCTCAATTTGTCCTCATATATTTGGCCTGTGAGAGCTCTGTCTAGCTGGATACAGCATTATTCTGTGCTTATCTGTTTCTACTAAGGCTCTGTGTCTCTCCTGTCTGCTCCAAACAGCAGTTTCTTCTGCTATCAGTCAGCAGCATCTACATCCCTGAATACCCTTTTTCCATCTAGACTGTGTTGTCCAATAAAATTAAAGTGCCAGGCTGCTTCCCCACCGTGCTTAATCATTGCTTAATGTATTGACTGACATCCATAAGAATGCTTGCAAATTCACAGAGTAAACCGAGAACATAAAGGGTTAAGGGAAGGGACACCGCCTCCTTCTAGCAATTTCTCTTACCTTGCATAGTAGTCATTGGGTGGAACTGCTTCTTGAAAGAACTGGAACTGGTATAAATAAAGTCCAACCAGGTGCCCGGCAGTGAATATCGCCAGCAGGACACAGAGGCAGCTGAACAGCAGCGGGTCGAATGTTCGGCACCAGGACCACCAGGTGCACAGACCCAGAAACACAAAGAAGTACACGGCTGAGGTCAGAGATGGCAGCATCATACCTGGGAAGAAGAGCACAATGTGACCAGGGGGCAGGACCAGAAGTTCACGTGCCACACTCAGTTAATGCAACACCTGGGGATTATGTGAATTCCTTTTGTGTCCTTTGGATACTAATCAAGTTTTAAAATATATTATTTAGAATTTGTCAGGGCTGGAGAGATGGTTCAGTGGCTAAGATCACTGGCTACTCTTGCAGAGAACCTGGGGGACCCACATGGTGGCTAACAACCAACCACCTGTAACTCCAGTTCCAGGGGATCTTATGCGCTCTTCTGACCTCCACAGGCATTGCATGACATGGGTGCACTTACATGCATGCAGGCAATACACTCATGTACATAAAATAAACATAATAAACTATTAAAAACTAATTTGTTAATATCATCAGGATTAGTAATGATCTACTTACTATAAAATGGCCATAAACTGAAATGATTATTGTTGTGAGAACAGCTGGAGACCAGGTGATGAAGAAATCCTACCAAAGGCTTTTGAGCTGAGCAAACATCTGCTTTTCACACAGTAGAACTGACATGTGTACTTCACCAGCCTCTCTTCCACTTGTCCTTCAAACACCATCTGTACACTCATTCCAACGCTCCTTTACACCAATTTCTACTGCCCCCTCCCCTTTAAGAGTTTTATTGATTAAATTTCTTCTTCGACAATTTCACACATGTACATAATGCACACTAGCCACTACACCTCCCACCTTCTCCCAGATCTCTACTGTCCTTGTCTGCCCCCGTTTCATCCCTACAAATTTCTTGTCACATTCATGTCTATTAAATTGTTTAAGATTTATTTTTAGTTTTCTATTTGTGTGTGTGTGTGTGTGTGTGTGTATCTTTTGTGTGTACACACGTCTGCAGGTAACCTCAAAGGCCAGTAGAGGATATTGGATTCCCTGGAACTGGAATTACAGGTGATTGTGAGCTGCCTGATGTGGGTGGTGGAAACAGAACGAGGGTCCTCTAGAAGAGCAGCAGGCACTCAACCCTCTCTCCAGTCCCTTAATTTTGTTTTGGACCTGCTGAGTTTAACCAAGGCCATACGTGTGACCATGGCTTTGGACTTCTTTTCCAGCTAAGAGTTATAATATTACATCCTGTGGCAACTTTAGTCTCATTTGAACTTTGTTCTACATGACAAGGCAACTCCTTTAGACATGTCTTAAAACAACTTCACCAGGCATTTTGAAAGGATTCCTTATTAAAATATTGGGCTTTATTTCTTGAGAAATTCTACTTTCCTTTCTTCTCTTTTTCCTTACTAAAAAGCAATCATTTCATCTTTGCAATTCAAACATTCTGAGGAAGTCCACCTTAAACTCCCAGCATCTCAGGCAGAGGGATGAAAGGAGGTCAAAGGTTAGATAGCACTAGATAACATAACAAAATTTAAAGGAAGTTACTGTCTGTGGAAGGAGATTGCAGTCCAACTTGGGAAGAAAAAGTGGATATCCTGTAGAGTTAAATTAAGGTTTCAAATGCTCCATGATGTAAAGACAGGGCTGGCCCTGGGTATCCTCAAATTGCTAATTGCAGCAAATCAGCATTCAAAGGCTCTAGGGAGGAGGAATAGCTGTTACTTCCATCTAAACCCAAGACCACTGAGATTTGGAAAAAGATTATTTGACAGAGGTTAATAGAGTCTATCCACAAATCTCAAGACCAAAGCTGAACAGGAGCATGAAGTTTAGGGTAAGTTCCTCTTGTGGCTGGCTGTAGGTGCCCACAGTGCCATGAGATACACTGTTTCCTTCCTTCCCTTCAACTGTCTTTCATTGGGCAGGACCTGGTCTGTCACTGTTACACTGTGTAGCCACCCAGGGACACGCTCACCTGAGGAGCCCAGCAGGATGGTCACCACGACCTTGCCCGCCGTGGTTATCATGTTGCCAATGAACTCCTTAAGCTTGGAGGCGACAGAGGCCAGCCTACGGAACAGTTTTAACTTTGTGCTTTCTTCTAATTCGCCTTCCACACCTTCTTCTCCATCGAAGTCCTCTTCATAGATTAGTGCATCCTCTGGGTCCATCTTTTCTCCTCCAGGCTAAAGAAATGAAAAACAGAGAAGGCATCAGTGCAGACCTCTGTTAACCCACTGTGTGGATTATATGATTCTTAATTTGTGAATCAGTTACCGGGGTCAGTTTCACAAATCAGGCCTCAGGTCTCTCATAGTGAGCCCAAGTCACTCTGTTCTTTCCATTAGAAACTCACAGGAAACACCCTCAACCTGGTACTCCCTACATGTGCCCTGGGCTGTGCTCCCTTTACATTCTCATTCTTTTACAGGCAGAAGAAACAGTCCAGACGATTAACAATTCAGTTTTGGTTCTTCAGCTTTATTTAGTTTGCTCTGGCATGGGCTGGTTTTGTCGAACCACAGCAGCAACCTATAGGGCAGGGGTGGGGGTTGGGGTGACAATCAGAGATCAGAGTGCAGGCGTTTCTCTTCCTTCTGAAGTTTATCTTTGCTCCTCATTACAGGATTTCCTGACCAAGACAGTGGTCTTGGGCTGCTTGTGCTGTGGCTTCCTGTCAAATCCTTTTAGAGAGTGCTGTGCTGGCTGGATTCTACAGAATTCAGTGCTTGAGAACTGTCCTTAGAGATTTAGAAGGAAACACAGGTACCAGAATACGGACAAATCTCCAGGCACTATTTTTAACCAAGAATGTAAAGGTGTTGACTGTTATTAAAGACTAAGTAGAGATTTGTTTTTGGTTTATTAGAATCTTTTCTTAAAGGGCTTAGGATTTCCTTGAAAGGGTTAGACTTTTCCTTCAAAAGAGTCATATATAGAAGTTATCACCAAAGACAAAAGGCATGTGCCCAGATGCATTTGTCTCCAGGCTGATAGACTGCAACATCTTCAGCCTGACTGGGCAGAGCAGCTGGCTGGGGACTGGAGAGACTCTCAGCCTCACCTGGACATCTGGGAAGTCTGGCTTCTCCAGGTTCCCACGCCATAGGTTCTTTCTTGAGATGCTCAGCTCAGACATTCACAGTTCTCACTGATGGAGGTCTGGCTCTTAGAAGGCTGAGTTCACTGGGGGAGATGGAGCCAGGACATTCTGAGTGGCTTTGAGGGTTTAGACACATATTGTCAGCAAGAAGAGGACAGTGAGGGGGACTTGAGTTTGCCATTAAGTGAAAAAGGCTAGAGGTGTTCCCCCACATATCCTGATCCAAGTAGACATACCTATACGCACATACCTACACACTCCAATGAACAGTCATGTATATACCCATGTACACATGCATATACATGTATCAACACAGAAACACCTGCACACTGATGTACCTCCCCAAACAACCATGTGTATACCTGTACACACATATGCACACAGACACAAACATATCCATGCATACAGACACATGCACCTTTCCCTCTCCTGTGGGATTCAATCCTGGGTTAATTAAAGTTCATACACATAAACTGGGTTCTTTTCAGTTTACCAGGATATTCGGTAGCTCCCTGTATCAATGGGTTTTGCATCCATAGATTCAATTAACCATAGATGAGCACCACTTGTAAAGCTGAGTCTCTCTTGAGCCTGCAGGCTTTTTCTTGTCATTATTCTCTATGTAATATCCATCTGCAGAGCACTGGCATTGCATTAAGTATAGTCAGCCATCTAGAGATGATGTAAGTACTTGGGAGAATGGGAATTCTCCCAACACGACATGGATTTATAAAAGGGACTTGAACATGTATGAATTTTGTTATCTACAGGGTCCTGGATCAGACTTCCTTTGAAAATCAAGAGATGACTTGGGGGAGGTGGGCAGGAAGCACCAGCCCTAGTTGAGTATCTATTGGCAATAATAGACCCTGGGGAAGTTGGTTTTCCTTACTGGTGTGACACTGGTAGATTGATCAGACTGTAAGAGTTAGCCTAGTGCCCAAGAGCACTTGGGAAACACAGATTAGACTTATACGACCTTAAAAAAAGACAGATAATAGAGTAATAGAGGACATGAAGTTGGTGGCAGGGGCAGATAGTAAGGTATGGGTTGAGGGGGGAGAGTCAGAATATGATCAAAACACATCGTGTGAAATTCTTTATTCAATAAAGATATTTTAAAAAGAGATGACTGTTTCTATTTTTCCTGATGCAGAAGGAAGAGCTTACACTTATTAGCCAAAATGCTTCATCCTCACAAAGCCTAGTGTATCCGACTGTCCTGGTGAGAGACTCAGTAATACACAAGTAAGCTAGTAGGACAACGAGTAGGTAGACATCCATAACGAGGGCTGCTCAGAGAGGCTAAGCAGGGGATGCAGCTTGGCTCAAGGAGTGCTACTGAAGATTCTGAGGTCAGGGGAACGCTCTCTGAAGAGGTGGCACTTTAAGATCTAAATGTCAGAAGTCACTTACCACCAGTCATGTTAAAAATCTCAGGCAAGAGCCTCGTGGGCAGATGGAAGAAGAACTGCTCAAAGGCTCTATCCAGAGGGAAGGCAAATGTCACAGACACGGCCTCTTCATTCCCTTTTCCCTCTCAGAGAATGATGTTGCTTTCTACTTTAGAGAGGGAGAATCTGCGAAGTAAATCCAATGCCTCAGATAAGCTCCCTGCAGTCTGCCTGCTTGTCATAGACATACTCTTCTCTCCTTCTGGGGGTAGACAAGTTGCAAGTGCTCCAGTCATTGCAACCAGATCCCATCTGCTCAGTCCAGTCATTCTTTCCTTGATTTTGCATCAAAGTATTTTCCATTCTCTCAGATTACCCTCCTCAACAAACAGACCTTGCTATCTAATCTTACAAAATAGATCATTCCTAGTTGCATTTGCCTCCCCAAGTAAAACTTGGAAAAGTTCAGTCAGACTCCGCACCACCTCTCCATATATAATTCCTCTGGGAATGTCTCTAACAGGTTTGACCTCTAATCAGTTTCTCTAATGAGAAGTATTACAGAGACTGTTTTACAAAGTTTCTAATGGCTGCCTGGGAATAAACAGAGGGGAGACAGGAGTTAGAAAGTATAGGGTGTGACGTTTATGTCAAGTTCTTTGTGTCTTTGGTACATGTGTAGGTGTCTGTGGTCCAGGCAGCAGAACTCACTGTTAATATGAGGTGGGAGGGGAGGGACAGAGGAGAATGTGATAGCAGACACACTCATAAAATATTTCATACAATTCTTGGGGCTGCAGAGATGTCTCAGAGGCTAAGGGCACTGGCTGCTCTTGCAGAGGATCCAGGTTCAATTCCCAGCACCATATGGTGGCTAACAGCCATCTACAACTCCATTTCCAGGGGATTTGATGTCCTCTTTTGTCCTCTGTGGGCATTGCATAACATGGGTGCACCTACATACATGCAGGCAATATACTCACACACTTAAATAAAAATAATAAATAAAATATTCAAAATACTTCATAGAATTCTTACCCCTGTCAAAATGTAGAACTTATTTAAACACTTCAGCTCTTTACTTCGCCTCTTTAAAAGATATGGCTCAGCAGTTAAGAACACTGGCTGCTCTTGCAGAAGACCCGGGGTTTGAATCCCAGCACCCACATGGCAGCTAACAACTGTCTGTAACTCCAGTTCCAGGGGATCCGACAGCCTCTTCTGTCCTCCATGGGCATTGCATGACAGGGGTGCACTTACTTACGTGCCGGCAATACACACATACACATAAAAAAAATGATGCTAATTTTAAAAAGATGCTAATTTCAAGAGGTGTCCCAGTGTGTTTATCTTTCATGAGGAAAAGGGGCAGCCAGGAAGAAAGCAACTGAGGTTTAGGTCACCCTCTCTACTTTGCAAGCTCAGCTCCAAGGTGCTGAGCAGGTAGCTAGAGCGGCAAGTTGGAAGGGAAAATGGGAACTGGGCCAACGGGTCTTGGGTCACAGGCACCTAGCCTAGAGGATTGCCTGGGGACAACTCAGAGATGGTTCACCTTTCAGTTGCTCCCCATCTGGGACCACCTTGCCTTTCCACCCATGTGCTCATGGTTTGCCTAGGAGTACAACATGCAGGGACAAGCTTGGGAACCAAAGCTTCCTTTGCCTCTGTGCAATGAAGACTATGGTCTCCAGCCAGTGGGCCCTGTTTCTTAACCCTGCAGGTCTGCCTCAGGCCAGCCCTTCCTGCTATTCCATCATTCCACAGGCAGATTCCATCCTGTGCAGCTGCTCAAGGGTATGCCACACCACTGAGCACCGCTTCTCTTCTGACACCAGGTAAGTGGTCTCCCTCCAGGAAGGAAGTCTGGCCAAAGCCTTTACTCACTACACTTGAAGGGGAAGAAATAGAACACAGAGGAGACCGGCCTGGGTCACAGGAAGAAACAGACTCGTAACTTTCATGATGAATGACTCATTATTCCATTATAGAATGGCTACGGATGTAGATTAAATCAGCATTCTCTGGTCCCAAGTCTCAGTGAGATTACACAAATGCCTTCCCTTGACCTCTTTGAGGCAGGAAGGGATTCTGGGAGGTTTATAAGCATGCTATTGGGTCTTAGGGCTCTAGACATTTTCTCAACAGAATCTCTGGGGCCCTTAAGATGGAAATACTTTTCAAACCGGCCAAGCTGATAGAGCTGAGAGGAGGTGGGTCTGTGTCTCTGAGTCCTACTGTCCCATTAGGTCAAGGCCAGATTGTCTACTAGTTACCTTAGCTGGCATATTAACAGGCAGACCTTTTCCCTCCATTAAAGAGTCCTCTGCTGGCTTATAATCACTAGGTCCTGGGAGGAGCAGAGACTCACTCCAACATATTTATTAACAAGCATCCTTACTTACTGGAGAAATCTCGTACCTCACTGGAACACAACTTGAACTTGGTCTTGAAGCAATTAAGGAACACCAATAAATAATTTTGTTTTTGTTTTTGTTTTTTTGAGACAGGGTCTCCCTGTAGCCCCAGCTGGCCTGGAACTTGCTATGTAGACAAAGTTGGCCTCCATCTCACAGAGATCCACCTGCCTCTGCCTCCCGAATAGTGGGATTAAAGGCATGTGCCACCATGCTGGGCTGTACATAAACATTTAATTCCTGTGATTTCTGAGCCATCTTAGAATTCAAAGACC